GGGATGGGGTTGTGGCTCAGTGGTAGAGTGCTTGCCTGGCACATGTGAGGCACTGGGTTTGATCCTCAGCACCAAAGAAAGAAAGAAAAAAAATTATTAAAAAAAAAAAAAAAAAGAAGAAAAGAAAATGAGATCATGAATGTGTTCATTGTGATTTTGTTCATGTTAATATTTTCTAGAAGCTATAAATTTACAAGGTGTGGGGGTAGGAACTGACATGTAAGGTATCTTGTGAGCAGAAACTTTATATATAAAATTTCAGTGAACCTTCAAAAACTGTCATTATTAATCCACTTAGTATGTAAAGAAGTTTACGTTTAGCAAACTTTTAGGTTTAACCTGCTGAAGGCCCCAAAGTTACTAGGTACCAGAGTAGATTTAAGAAGCAAGGTCTGTTAGTGTTTGCTATGCTAAGTTTATGAGTTGGAGAGATAGGCTTTAAGAAGCAGAGAGTGTTTTAATCACTAGAAAAGATATGAGAGTGAGATGAAAAATATATATACATGGCATAAAATATAGATAACTTTCATGGATTGAAGATGATTTACAATATCGTAAATCATGGAAGATATTTTGGATTTTTTAGAGATGGTGTCAAGATGCATTTCTTTAGAGATGGTGTCAAGATGCATTGTAGTAAAAACTCTTTACTTAATTTTTGGTACCAAACATTTTAAAAACCTGCTTTGTGTGACATAAATCACACACCACACAATTCATCCTTTTAAAGTGTAAAAGTTGGTGATTTTCAGTATATTTAGAGTTGTGCAACTACCACTACCTCACAACAAAAAGAGACCTATTAGTAGTCACCCTCTCCATCCTTGGTTTTCTTAAAAAGTCACAATTTGTCCAGAAAGCTTTGGAAAAACACTTTCTCCCATCCCTTATTAACTAAATAGTTACCACAAATAAGTACGTTTGGCACTGAATTGAGGTTACTTAGAGGATTCAATTTCTTTCTGTACTGGGGTGAAGGTTAAAAAAAAAACTAAGTACCTTTAAAAACTTGCACAAAAAATAGTGGTTTCTGATTGTTAAACTCTGCCCTTTGTGCAGGACCCAGCAGGTTCTCAGTATATGTGTGGAACTGGCTAACAAGTAGGGAGACAGGAGAATGAACAACAACAACAAAAAACCCTAGTAAAATATTTTACTAACTGGCATTACTGTTTCTCTGATATGCTTGATAATAAAGACTTCAAATTTTCTCAGCCCTTAAAAAAAAGTGAAATACACCAAAAAATGTTATATATACATACGTAAGAAGCAGCTAAACCCAATTACATACACCGCAGGGGGAATCATAAAAAAAAAAATTAGACTCATCATTTAAGGAGAAATCCTGGCTCAACTGAACATCCTCCCCACTGAGATTTCTTTATGTTTATTTTAGTTGAAAATAGTCATAAATAAACTTGAATAGTATTCATGTTATTAAAAAGTCTCTGGGAATGGCAATATACTCTGTGAAATTGGTTTCTATGAAGAAAACAGATCTTCAGAATATCCTAGCAACCAAGAGAAGGAGTAGCATAAAGACCAAGGCAGATGGCATCAATGTATTTCCCATCACCCCAAGGCAATCAATGCAAACACTCTGGTAAATCTAGTTTTTTACCTATGACATTCTAGGACAGATGTGGCAGAAAATCTCTATGAACCTGAATCTGTTAGCCTATAATTGTACAATTTTTTTCTTTCCCAGGGTATATCAACTTGGGTAGGCCATAGTGACTGGTTATTAAAAGACTACTCCAAGTGGTGCCGATGAGGTATTTTGTAGATGTGATAACATCTGTAATTAGTTGACTTTAATCTGGGTAGGCCTGATTCATCAATTCAAAGGCCTTAAGAACAGAGCTGAAGTTTCCTAGAAGAAATTTTACCTTAGCCCTGGCTAGAGAATTTCAGCCCAATGGCCTGCTCCAAAGAGTTTTGATCTCACATACAACTGATATTCCAATAAGACTGATATGAAGAATGCTCAACATGCTGATCCCAAACTTTCTCTTAAGTTTAATTTGCATTACCCCTCCACCAAAGCAAAACCATGAGGTATGGAAAATTATTTTAGTAGGTTAGGACGAATGCCACTATCGACAAAAAGAAACAAAATAGAAATCAGGATATACTACATGTGGTGTAAATGACATGGAAGCCACCAGAGATGACTTCATGGGTCGTCTTATCAATAATTCCACACTCTGCTTTTTGCCTTGGGCATTTCTGGCATCAGGAACTATCTACTCCATTGTTAGCAGAAACCAACTAGACATGCTCCCTTCTCTAGACAATCCCTAGAGCCATTTTCAATGCTTTAAAATATTTTACCTTCAGACACGGGGTAATGAACACAAGTGCAGTGATATTTGGGTAACCCAGTTAACTAGGAATAGCAGGACATAAGATTATAACTGCTTTTCGTCCATCCTAAAATTCACATCTTATTATGTTTGTGTAAAGTCAACTGAAGAGATAGGATAATTGCTTAATTTTGGCAAATCCCAAAACTTGGATATTGTGATTTTATGTGAAACTAGGAAAAAGTTATTGATTACATTGTATAACTGATATTTAAGTTTATTGAAGGTTCAAGGGAACTTGCAAATCTATTACTATAGTGAGATTTAATGTTTAATATAACATTTCAAGGTGTTAAAATCCATTAGTCACTTAAGGAGAATAAGTTGCCATGTGGTGTAACAACTTATTCATTTTCTGTAATCACAAAGGTGATATTAGGTAGCTTCACTAATAGTTACTTTTATACTATTTCATCTTGTCATATACTGATATGCACTTTAATAAATGGAACATGACTTTCCTGTGGTGACTTTGTTATAGTACTTACTTGAGTTCTCTACTGAGAACTATATTAATTCTGTCCTTTAAAGGTCGATTCTTTTCAGGAATAGAGAACCAGGTCTTCCTACCCATAATCACCAGATTCTGTTTACCTATAAAATCACATGGAAAGGATAAGTATATTTTGGGACTGTACATATATTTTTAATCATATACATGTAGATATTGGTCATAGTGACATCTAGTGGATTTGCTTAAAAAATATTAAAACAGCTTTACCAAAATTTACATTTCTCTCTCCTAACCTAAATATAGTAATTATTTTCCCCTCGGACTTTACCCAATTTGTATCCAATATTTAATTATAATCAATTGCAACTATGTATAATGTAGTAAAGAGGAAAGATTTTGGGTTGAAGTGTTCTAATCCAATGCATTCTATCATTAACCAGGCATCAATCGGAGTACTCCTCTGTCTTACTTTCCTTGGCTATGAAATAGGGATAAGAATAGTGCCTACCTCTACAATTGTAGGGGGGATTAGACTTAGAACAATATTCAGCATATAAGTAGTTATCATTGTTGGATATAATCACACTATTCATATTTGTGTACTTTGTAGATTTCCATCATCGTATTTAAAAAAACAGTTCCTTAATAGTTTCCTCAATTTACCTTTCTACGTTAAAACAGGTTAAGTTGAACTCTTGCCTTTTCAGCATTATACTTCCACAGATAATGCTTTTGTAAAAACCTGATACATATAGATTCCATTTTTGACTTCTTAGGAGGAAAAAAAAAACTTGAGTCAAGACATTTGGATCAAAGGAACATTAATATTATCAGATCATACTTAAGGATTCTTGAGAGGGATTTGTGTCCCTGGAGCTTTCCGCTCTTGCCATCTTGTGTCTACCAGCGACATAACTGCCAAATCCAAGGGCCTTATATCTTTTATTAATGTTATGCAGCTTCTGCTCCCTCTGACTTTCCTTATTTATTCTGCCATTCCTCTTCCTATATCCATAAATACATGTTTCTTAGGTTTTAAGCAGGGTATTCCTCCATTTTCATATTTTTTCTTTGTTTATCCTCTTTTCTCCCATAGCTCAACTCACCTAGCTCTCTCTGTCTGAAATTGTCCTGGATATCCTTACAGACAACTCAAAATCATCCTCATTACAACCGCACACCATTCTCCACTCCTTAATTCTTCTAGTCACTGAGACTCTCCCACACTGAAATGCTGAGAGTTCATCATTGATGCCTTCATGCATCATAATTACATTCCAAATAACCCATGTGGAGGATCCTGTAGCCACTCTCTTCTTCTTTGCCCCAGTTCAGGTTTACCATCTCTCCCAGCAGCTCTTCCAAAGACCTCCTTTGGCCTCCATTCTGAGTGCTAACCTCCAATGAGAAGACCTCTGTTCAGCTGCCAATTTTGCAATACCTGAACTGTACATGTGCCCAGTATAAAACTGTGAATTTTTAAAAAAGGGACGCTTAATGAACCTTGGGAACTTCAGACAGATTTTTAGTAAGATTAAAGATCCCAGATTAATTTGAAACTTTCCATTTAAAACAACATTTGCATTGGAAAACTTCAAGAAAAATCCTTGACGAATCCCAATCATTTAAAAATGCCCTCATTACCTTCTACTGAAGGGGTTGTTGTCATTCTTTGGAAATACTTGAATTCATTCCTGCAAGTTAGAGAAACACATCGTTACTCAACACATTATCTGGTTGGCTCAGGCTCTAATGCGCATGACAAACATTGTACTTCGCGGAGGGTGGTGTTCTCCAGGCCAGGGACTTTGCCCTAGGCCAGAGCACCACAGGGCAGAGGCCTTGGCAGGGAAGCAGGATCCGGTGGGAAATCAACAATTTGGCTTTGTGCTGTAGCCGCGGAGGCCACCCAGGGTCTACATGCCCTTGTCCATTGGAACTGGCTCCAGTTGGCCAGTCGGCCCTGTGCGTCCCCGCCCAGGTGACCAGATTAAAGCCAGTGAGCGCAGCCTCTATACCCTCACCTCCAGCCCGGCTGATACCTGAGCGGGGGCCAGGGCAGGTCCCCGTTCTTGCCGATGCCCATGTTCTGGGACACGGCGACAATGCAGTTTAGCGGACGAACCATGACAGCAGCAGTGATCCCCCAGCTCCCCTGCTACACCCGGATTCCGCTCGGATTTTGGCGCGAAATGATAGCCACTCCGCCCCCTCTGTCTCATTTGAGGAGGCAAGGCCCCGCCTCCGCCCCGCCTCACGGCAAGGTCGCAGCGTGCTCGCTCCCGCAGACTCCCGGGAACGGCGGCGGGCTCGCGCTACCCGCTGGGCCCTGTAGGCTGGCCACCACTGCCCGTCCTGCAATGTCTCGGCGGAAACCTGTATCGGGCAGTCTTTCTGCAGCCGGGCCAGCCCATGGGAGACAAGCAGTTTTGAGCCGATTCTTTCACTCCACGGGAAGCCTCAAATCCACTTCGTCTCCCACCGAAGCCGCCGCGAAGGCAAACCACGGCTCCGCAGCGCCCTCAGCGTCCACCGCCCAGCCTCATTTGCCGCCGCTGGTGGTGGGTTCGGTCCAGGGCGGGGCGGGGCCATCGGGTGGGGCGGAGCTTGTGAGAGGAATAGGAGGAGGCGACGACCATGCGCGAGAATCCCCGAGATGATGGAGCCGGAAGAGAACGGAAGAGGCGGGGCCGGGGAAGCAGAGGCTGGGAAAGCCCAGCTGGGTCCAAGACCTGGTGTGGCTGAGAGATTGCATTACCTCTCTCTCTCTCTTTTTTTTTTTTTTGGCATCACCTGTTTTGAGGGAATAGATTTGAGGCCAAGGTCCCGCTGGTTGTTAAGAGGAGACCTGAAGGGAATTTCCATTCTGACGAATGGAGAGTGCCAGTTAGTCTGGGATACTTGTATCTTTTAATCCTCCCTCTTTTCTTTCCTGGACTGATGTTTGAAAAGGGGCTTCTCTCTACACGCTTGGTTGGGTGACTTTAAGAAAGCTGCTCATATGTAGTTCTTAGGACTGAACAGCATTGCTGAATATTTCAAATCACTGTGGGCTGAAGCTGAGTAGTGGTCACGACCTGTAGTTCACGTCTTAATGTGTGACGTTCAATTTGGATGGATAAAGTGTCTATAAATGCCAATGGTTAATCATTGGATACTTTGTTGCTTGCCAATCTTTTTTAAAATATTATTTTTTAGTTATAGGTTGACACAATATCTTTAGTTTATATTTTTGTGAGATTTTTTGTTTTGTCCTTCCTTCCTTCCTTCCTCCCCCCTCCCTTCCTCCCCTCCTCCCCCCTCCCTTCCTCCCCCCTCCCCCCTCCTCTTCTCCCCTCCCCCCCCTCCTCCTCTGTGCTTTCCCAAGAGGGAGTCTTCCCTAGAGTACCCTGTGTACTTCCCAAACTAAGGATGTGTGGAAGGGGATTACAGACTGAATTTTAGTCTGGTTACATTTTAATGGAGTTACAACTAAGCTGCTTTAAAAAGTTCTTCTCTTCATTTACATTTCTTTCCTATAGTAATTGCTCCTCGTTTTTTTTCCTTTTTTTTTTTTTTAAAGGACGACCTAATTTTCACGAATTCAGCAAAATTTTATTTTTCGTCTACCATTTAGAGACTATTTGGTGAAGGACTTAAATTTTTGTCAGATTTCCTGCCAATAGATAGTTCATAGTCTTGTGGCAACTTCAATGGTGAACATATTGTATTTAAACAGGACATAGTTAAATAATGATTAGTATTTAAAAAGTGATATTGTTTATTTAATCTTTGGCTCCTAATTTTGGCTTTGATAAGTACTATTTTATTTCTTAGGGGTATTTTATTTAACATGTAAGTGGGGTGAATCAGGTTTTATAATTTGAGATAAGTAAAGGCTGATTGAGTAAAGGAAGGTATTATATGGCTTAGTTTCATTTATTCTAGCAGGACTAGAGGTTCTGAGGCTCATGACCTGCCAGTTTCCACCCTGTCTTTGATGGGGGTAAAAACAGTTAACTCAGGCCTTTCCAGAGCTAACAGAAATAATTCTGTGAGGAATGGATTGCAGGGAAGTTGGTGTCATTCAGAAATAATGTTTAAATTACTTCACATACATCAAGCTTTCACAGAATAGATAACACCTCATTTTGTGACCTTTGTATGTAGGCTACAGAAGTTAACAAAGGAAAAAAAAGATCATTGGAGAAAGATGGGCCTGTTAAAAAGAAAGCAAAGAAAGTCCAAGAAAAGGAAGGAAGAAGTGACTTGGTAATGCCTGGTAACCCTGGTGAGTCTGGGCAATGATTCTTCTCAGCAGTCATAGCTCTGATATTCTTGGGTTTTTCTGGAGGGCAGAGAAAGCTCTTGGAGAGTTGAACCTTTGTTCTTTTTGGACAATGATCACTATTGTGCTTGAGTTTGTGGTGGTATGTATAGGAGGTGAGGGGGACCCTGGAGGAGCTGGAGTTCTGCAATTTGGCTATAGTTCTCCCAACTTTCTCTTTTTTTCCACTCTAACCATTTTGTCATGTTTTTAAAAATGAGATATTCTTGTTATAAAAATTCCAAACAGTACAGAAATTTGGATGGTAGACAGTGAAAGACCTTCTCTTTCAATGAGGCCTATTGCTCATTGTTTGGGTACTGTGTGTTGTTCCAGATTTTTCTATATTTACACACACATATGTGTGCACAACACAGACCCCCAAATTAGTTAATTAGTAGTAATTATCATAGTTTACATATTATATTATACTACATATACTAATTTACAACTATCTTTTTCCACTTAATAGAACATTTTAAACGATATTCAATATCAGGACATATAGATATACTCTCTCCTTTTTTTTGCACAGAGCTGTTCTTTCTATATGTGAAAAAGCACTGAGTGAGAACAGCATTGTTTGGGTCTGGGGTTGTAGCTCAATGGTAGAGCGCTTACCTAGCACATGTGAGGCACTGGGTTCAATCCTCAGCACCACATATAAATTAAAAAAATAAAGGTATTGTGTCCATCTACAATAAGAAATGTTAATTAAAACAAAACAATCCAGCATTGCTGAGCTTCTGGACTTCCAGAGGTGATTTTGGGGGTAGATGATTGAGTGAGCAGATTTTTTTCTAGTTTTTGGCTCCAGAGAATTTGTGATAAGAAGAGACAGGAAATCCATCTTTATTCATAATTCCCAGAACATAAAACAAACAAATAAACAAGAAGTCCCAATTCACTGACGATAACTGTCTATACCGCTAGAGATAATAAGTGGAATACTTATTTTTCCCTATAAATGGTAAAACTTGGATTTAGGGCCAACATGAATAAGAACTAACTACAAAAATGGAGATGTATGACTAATGAGAAAAATATATCTGATAACATCTGATAATACCATAGTCCTTTTCTTTTCTGGAGGGGGCTTGAAGGAGTCATGACTTGACAGATTTGCCACTGGTTAATTTTGCATTTTCTGGGGCTCTTTGCCTTTTTTCTTTTTGTTTCATTGCTCTATATAGACCTGATTGTTCAGTTTTTCAGTAAATTCTATTAGCAGTGAGTGCTCTTTTTTTTAAAGTCTGCTTTTACTCTAAAGCTTCTTGTAGCTCATTTATTCTTCCTAAAAACCTTGTTTTATTTTCTTTTGTAGAGGAAAAGGTAGATGACAGGTGAGGAGAACTGAGGGCTGCCATAGTTAAGTGGCTTAACAGGGGTCACACAGGACAGTTGAGATTGGAAATTGTTGAAATTAAAATGCTTGTCATTTGTTAATTCAGGGTTACCTGGGTTGTGGCTCAGTGGTAGAGCGCTTGCCTAGCATGTGTGAGACACTGGGTTCAATCCCTGGCACCATGTAAAAATAAACAAACAAAGAAAAAAGATATTGTCTCCATCTATAACTAAAAAAATATTTTAAAAAATTGGCTTTCAGAAGGTGGGTATCTGTTCTGTCCCAGGGTTGTTGTTGTTTCCTCCTCCTCCTCTTCCTCCTCCTCCTCTTCCTCCTCCTCCTCCTCCTCCTCCTCCTCTTCCTTCTTAATAACAATCATTAAAATACAGTTCTCACACCATATAGTTCACCAATTTAATGACTTTTAAGTTGTTCCCAGATTTGTGCAAACATTATCAAAGTTAATTTTAGGGCATTGGGATGTGGCTCAGTGGTAAAGAGTACTTGTGTAGCATGCATAAGGCCCTGGGTTTGATCCCTAGCACTGGGGCTGAAGGCTGTGGCAGGGAGTCAATTTTAGAACATTTTCATCATCCCAAAAGAAGACCTATACCCAGTCGCAGTTACCTTCTTTTCCTTGTTATATTCTCCAGCCCTAGGCGACCACTAATCTACTTTCTGCTGTAGATTTGTGTATTGAAATAATTTCATATAAATGAAATCATACAATTTGTGGCTTTTTGTATATGTTTTATTTTATTTAGTATCATATTTTCAAGGTTCATCAGTGTGGTAGCAGTACTTCATTCCTTTCTTTAAAAAAATTCATTTTTTTACGTTGTAAGAAACATAAAATTCACCATCAACCATTTCTAAGTGTGCAGTTTAGTGGTATTAGTACAATTATATTGTTCTATCATCCCTACTATTCATCTCCAGAACTCTTTTTTCCTTTTGCATTTCTAAAACTCTACCCATTGAATAATAACTCCCATTCTCCCATCTCCAGTTCTGGCAGCTACCATTCTGCCACAACCTGCCAAGCATCAACAAAGGATCTTGAGTAGGGGTGACTGGAGATGGAGAAAAACACAAAGAAAAAGAAAACATTTTTAAGCAAAGCTAGGGCCAGGTGGGACACTGCCCTCTAATGGAGGAACAGTGACCTGGAACTAGCTCTGCAAATTTATTATATAGGGTCTCATAATCAGAAAGTTAAACTATAGGGGCATTGTAAATTGTTAAAGTCTTCTGAGTTATCAAGAGGCTTCTTTGTGCATAAAAAGTTACAGAGATAGAAACATTTTTATGGCTATCCTGCTGCACTCAGGAAGCCCACTGTATTGGAACATCTGATAACTGTTAGCATCAGAGCCAGTGTCAAGGCTGTTAACCTCTGTGCTTTTTGGCAAGGAATATTTCCCAGGCTTGGCTTTTGCCAACACTGCAGGATCAGCCAATGACTATGGGTTCATCTGCTCTCCACACCATTCTACTTTCTGCCTCTATAATTTCGACTGCTCTAAATTACATTCATTCTTTTTATTTCTAGGTAATATGCAACTGTATAGATTCATCTCATTTCTTTTTCTTTTTTTTAAAATATTTTTCTTAAAAAAAGAGAGAGAGAGACAGAGATTTTTTTTTTAATATTTATTTTTTAGTTATCGGCAGACACAACATCTTTGTTTGTATGTGGTGCTGAGGATCGAACCCGGGCTGCACACATGCCAGGCGAGCGCGCTGCCGCTTGAGCCACATCCCCAGCCCTCTTTTTATTTTTTTATTTGTTCTTTTTAGATATTCATGACAGTAGAGTATATTTTGACATATTATACATACATGGAGTATAACTTTCCATTCTGTGGTTGTACATGATGTGGAATTACACTGGTCATGTATTCATATATGAACATAGGAAAGTTATGTCTCATTCATTCTACTGTGTTTCCTATTCCCATCCCCCCTCCATTCCCATCCCCCCTCCATTCCTCCATTCCCTTTGTTTAATCCAGTGAACTTCTATTCTCCCTTCCCTATTGTGGGTTAGCATCTGCATATCAGAGAGAACATTTGGCCCTTGGTTTTTTGGGATTGGCTTATTTCAGATAGTATGATGGTCTCCAGTTTCATCCATTTACCAGCAAATGCCATAATTTTATTCTTCTTTACGGCTGAGTAATATTCCATGTGTATAGATACCACATTTTCTTTATCCATTCATCCGTTGAAGGGCATCTAGTTTGGTTCCATAGCTTAGCTATTGTGTGTTGAGCCGCTATAAACATTGATGTGGCCTCATCACTATAGTATGCTGATTTTAAGTTTTTTGGCTATATGCCAAGGCGTGGGATAACTGGGTCAAATGGTGGTTCCATTCCAAGTTTTTTGAGGAATCTCCATTACTGCTTTCCAAAGTGGTTGTACCAATTTGCAGTCCTACCAGCCATGTATGAGTGTACCTTTTTGGCCACATCCTTACCAACATTTATTGTTACTTGTATTCTTGATAATTGCCATTCTGACTGGAGTGAGATAAAATCTCAATGTAGTTTTAATTTGCATTTCTATAATTGCTAGGGATGTTGAATATTTTTCATATCTGCCTTATTTCTCAATTTTTCAATTTACAAGGGTTTTTTTTTTTGGTGCTGGAGATGGAACCTATGGCCTCATGCATGTTAAATCCCATTCTTTACCACTGAGCCACATATCCAGTTCTTACAATTTTTTTTATTGTGTTTTTTTAAAATCTGGTATCCACAGGAGAGGAAAACTTTGTATTCACAAGGAAACTTACATGCTTTTGAAAAGTGACTTTAGAATGTATTTTGGAAATCATGGAAATAATCAAAAGGTAAAACATACCTTGGAAAATATACTAAAAAATACATTTTTCAAATAAGAGAAATCATAGTAAACAAGGTAAAGTATATATTGAATAATTCATGTATTTAGAAGAAAGAGAGTCACCATGTTCAAGGATTTTTGATTTTTAGCATGTGACAATCTAGTTTTTTTGGTTTGTTCATTTGTTTTGTTTTAATTATAGAGGGCCAATTTTCCTGTCCATTTTCTCTTGGCTAGGATTTTCTCATCATTATAGATTTCCACAGATTAGATTTTGTTGGGCCTTAGACCACTTTGAATTGATTTTTATCCTGCTTGAAGCTCATTTAAAGCTTCTTGGGTCTATGGGTTTAAAGCTCTCATCAAATTTGGAAAGCTCTTTTAGGCATTATTTTCTCAACTGCTTTTTTCTGTTTCCTTCCTCTCTCTTTTTCTCAAAGTTTATTTCAGGGATGTTGAACTACTTGACATTGTCCCTGAAATCACTGAAGCTTTGTTTTCAGGTCTTATTTCTCCTCGTATTTCATTTTGGATAGAATGCTTTCAAATTCAGTGATCTTTTCTTCTGTAGCATCTAATCTGCTATAAAGCACTTTCAATGAAATGTTTGTTTTAGATATTTTAGATGTTATCTCTGAAGTTCCTTTTTTTAAAAAAAATCTTCAATTTCTCTGTGTGAATTATACCTCAGTAAAACTATTAATAGAAAAAGTATTTCTTTTACCTCTCTTTTTGCTTATGTTTTTCTTTGCCTTCTCATTATGTGGAGTGTATTTATAAAACATGTCTCTGTGTATTAATTTTATCATATCTGTCCTCTCTGGATCTGCATCATTGGACTGACTTTTCATACTTTTCACATGTCCAGCAATTGATTGGATCGTGGCTGTTTTGAATTCTTTATTATTTCCTACTGGATTTTGTATTTCTTTAGAGTGTTGTACTTTATTCTTGCAATCAGTTAACTTCCTCATGGGTCATTTTGATTGTTTTCAAATTTTGTCAGAGTATTACTAGCTCTAGGTGAGCCTTTCCCTAAAGCTTCACCTTTCTTGAATCAGAAGGGTTGCAAAGTAGCAGCAACATACCATAATGTGTATTTCCATCATACAGAGATAAAAGACACTAATAACGTTAAGACATAAGTAAAAATAAAATGTAATAAATCTCTTAGGAAGTGATGAAGTTTGAGTTTTACTCAACCACAAACATACACCATGCAATAGAGCCTTAGTACTTCACTTCTGTTTTTAACACTTCAGCTAAAGATCCGTCTTTTGTTTTGTGTTTTAAAAAACTACAACCCCAAGATTTTCACTGACCTACATTCTGGGAAAGGTTTTTTTTTTTTAAACCACAGGAGGGAAATCTGTGTACACACTTAAAATATGAAAGTTTTAAACTTTCAGAAATGAACAGAATATCACTTGTGCCCTCAGAATATTCTTGCTTTCATAGGAAGGGTAAAAGATGATAAATTCATGCAACCCCAGTTCCCTTATATTTGCTAATAGCTACCTAATACTATTGCTTTAAAGAGTGAAATAATATATTGTGGTACATGATAAAGATCCAATAAATGATAGATCCCTTCTCTTTGGATTGCTTGCTTATAAACAACTCCTACTTAGGCAGACTGTGTACTATATTAAAATTTGAGCTTCTTATAGGAATGTAAAAGAAAAACGATTTAAAGCTGTGAGAATTAGAGAATTTCATGGAAAAGATAGCTTTGAGATGGAACTTGAAGAATGAATACAATTTTGATATGTAGAAAGTATAGCATGTGCAAAGCTTGGAAGCAGGAAAGCAGGTGTTTGAGTGGGGTGATTGGATTTCCTTGGCGAACCCTTGATGTCATTATCTAAGGCTTTCCCCTTAATGTGGTCAGATTCTTCAATTAGGAACCTCCTAGCTTCCTAGGTTCTAGAGAGGCTGGGGGTGTCAGCATATAGTCAATGTACATTCCCATCACCCTTCTGAGTTGCTGCTCCATCAGCTATGCTTGTTTCCAGAGCTATCTCCCATCTGCTGCTGAGGTGAGGAAAAGATTGTTGCCTTTGACTTTGGAGTGTGTGTGTGTGTGGGGGGGTCTAGAAACCAAATTACTTTGAGTCAGTGCCTTTATTTTAGATTTTCCCTTATTCCATTTCCACAGTTACTGGTGCCGTAATTCCCCAGTCTCTTGATCATTTTGTGTTGCAAATAGGATTGGTCCTTGGTTTTCTTAACTATTGACTTAGGACTTAGCTTGAGTTGAGTGGGCTTATTGGTGAGAGCTCATCTGTTTTCCCTTCTAGCTTCAGAGATTTCATTTGCAATTGTTGCCTCTCCTCTCCTGTCTGTCCTTAAATGTGAAAACAAACCAACAAATAAAAACCAGAATCAAACTACAATGTAGTTTTCCTTTCTTTGTCTCTCTCTTCTTTTGTAGTGCTGAGATAGAACCCAGGGCTTTGCATGTGAGCAGGAGAAGCAAGAGCTGTACCACTGAACTCTAGCCCCAGCTTGCTACTGTAGTTATTCAATGGGGTCTCAGCAGTGAGAGAAATCAGATATATGCTTGAATATGCCACCTTTACCCTGAACTTGATGTTCTTTATTCCTTTATCACATTATAGTTCAGTCCATTAATGGGAATCTCCCTTTTTAGAAAATTCTGTGTTTATTATAAGTTGACGTAATGAGACCAAAATACCGTGGTTATATTTTCTTCTCATTTGTTTTCCAAGAGCCAAATAAATGTCTGAGGACCAGGACTATCTCAAAGTCTCTGGAAAAACTGAAAGAATTCTGCTGCGATTCTGCCGTTCCTCAAAATAGAGTCCAGATAGCACCTCTTCAAGAGAGGTTTGCAGTTCTACCAAAATGTACTGATTTTGAGGATATCAGTTTTCAACGTGCAAAGAATGCAGTTTATTCTGAAGATTCTAAATCCCAAGTGAACCAAAAGGTATGTAATTGTTATATAGATGTATTTCCAGTTACCCAGAATAGTAGGTTCTGAAATCCTTTAGTTTCTGTAGGGTCACTAAGGACACTTGACTGATCATCTGAGTTACCTGAGAGATCTTTTGTTTCACAGACATATTGTGAAACATAAGAAATTCTAACATTCTAATTTGCTGTGTATTATGAGGGATGAATTGGTTTGTGTTCAAACAAAACAAAACAAAAAATTAAAAGACTCCCAAATTATTTTGAGCCAATACTCTTTATTTTAGAACATTCCGTATTCCACAGTCTCTGATTGTGATGTACTTACTGCCTGGATTAGGAACCACTGACTTGGGGGAATTTTTTTAGATTATTGATACATGCATAATTTTAATATAGCTCTCCTTAAAGTTTTCATGATTTGCATGGAAAATAATGTTGGGCAACATACATCCATCTATCTATCTATCTATCTATCTGTCTGTCTATCGATGTTTTGAGGTTTCCAGTTGAAAGCTTGGCATATATTAAGTAAACTTAGAGATAAACCAACTAAATATGTGTTTTTACTTCTTCTACTGTTTATTTTGTGACTTATTAATGGTTCTTATCATTGCAGAATCTGGTCTGGCACCATCATTGAAATCTATAATTCAGATGAGTGGTTGACTTTCAACCTTAGCTTTACATTAGACTCATCTGGAGAAATTAAAAACAAAACAAAACAAAAATTGGTATTTAGGACCTTCCTTCAGAATCTTATTTATTTGGTCTTCACTGAGAATTGTGCATGGCTATTTTCTTAGAAGCTCTTATTTTAATGTGTAGATATGATTAATGATCATTGAATTAGAGAAATGCTTTTTGAATTTATATGTGTGTATATATATGCATATATGTTTATTTATTAAAATTTTAATGAAATGTACTTTTTCTTAGAAAAATGATTAGGACAATAGAATTTTGCTTACAGTTTTCCCTTCCCACAAAGTTCACATCTATGGACTTCTGTCTCAAATGGGCTAATATTGGTTAACTCACTTATCTTAGGTCATCAGAAAAGGAAAGAATGTTTTCTTTGTTATTGCCGTTTAATACTGAGAAGCAGTTCACCATGGTATAGGGTGATTATTATGGATAGAAATCATAAAGTCTATGAAATCTCATTTTATTAATTGGAACATTTACCCTGAGGTCTCAGTAGAGCCTATCTACTATTGCTTTGTACATAAAATGCCAACTTGATTTTTCTGTGAAATTAGAAATGATCAAATAGAAGGGTTATCTAGAAGCAATATAAGGACATTATTACAAGCAATAAGCTATTTGAGAGCTTGAAAAGACACAGATGAATGGTAAAAATCTACCAAATGAACATAATTGCCCAGTGGTCTAGGGATATTAATGACATGACTCTGAATAGGTTCTGAAATTTATTCTGATCACTCTGAATTGTCAAGACAAGGTTGAGTTGAGTTCAACATGCTGCCTCTGTGACTATTAAAGAAAATATAGTATATCTGAGAAATATTTCCACCCAAATCATATAAAAAACAAGTTGCTTAATAATCAAGTACTTAGATTTACTTCTTAGTATCCCACATGGAGAGAACTTTTTTTTTTCCTTGAAGTCTGTCTTGTTCAGTAAAAGAGTAAGTTAAAAAAAATGAGAGCAACTTTTTTCTAGGAAATATATTTTTGTAAGTATTAATTAACTTTTATATTATGTAGTATTCCTGGAATTTATGTAAGAGTCATAGAAACAAAATTGAAAATCCCTCAAAATGAAAAACAGTTGCATTCTCAGATGTTATGATGAGCTGCATTTCTCTGGCCATTCCTCTCCACACCTTACCATCTTCCTATTGCGAATCTTTGCAAGTTTTCTGGGCTATGTTATTTAGATAGATTGAGTCTTTTTGAAATTAATGTCTTTCTGTGCCGTCCCAGCTAAGCTGATTTTTTTTTTTTTTTAAACATTTGGCATCCACAGAATACATGTTTCTGGGGTTTCTGTTGATATGAGACTCCACTTTTCTGCTCTCTGTCCCTTCCTCTTCTTCTGCTCACTAGTTTTTTAGGTCATATTTTTTATTCCAGTGGTAGTTGAGTAACTTTTTAGATGTTGAGAGTGACAGCATGGCTCTTACTTAGAAATTGATTTATCCTATCAATTTGTCTTATTTTTCCATTTCTTAATCAGGCCTGATAATCAAGGGATTTTTCTCTAAGCTGTAAGTTGGAATTAATTATGGTTTTATATTGCAGGAAGTTAAGGATAGTAGGAGTACTAATATTGAAAATGTAGCCCAATGCTCTTTGTTTTCCAAAACTTCTTTCCCCTATTTATTTACCAAAACAATGATGATTCTCTCTTGTAATACAGATTTATAGAATATACTATCTTTTAGAGCATGCTTGGAAACATGAAACATTAAGTGCAGCTTTAGATGTTGGCATGCTTGCTGCAAGTGTTTTTGCCCAAGATTTATCCCCAGTTGATTTTTATTCATTGTATACCTGGGAATAAATAAGAAAATAAATGTTTATTAATTATAGATCCAATAACATCAAATTTAAAAAGAAGTATATAAAACATTCAGGTTGTTTAGATTTGCAAAATTTACTTAAATACTGGCAGTTTTTGTTTTTTTGGTTCATAATTTTTTAAAACGTTTTACTTTGAAAAAATTTCAAACCTTTGTACATATTGCTTTGTACATAAAATGACAAACTTGATTTTTCTGTGAAATTAGAAATAATCAAATAGAAGGGTTATCTAGAAACAATATAAGGACATATTACAAGCAATAAGCTGTTTGAGAGCTTGAAAAGACACAGTTGAATGGTAAAAATCTACCAAATGAACATAATTGCCCAGTGGTCTAGGGATAATTTGCCTGAATACTACAATGTGTCTTGGGAAACCTTTCACCTAGATTTACCAACTATTAGCTTTTTGCTAATTTTGCATTTTCTTTCTCTGAGAATTTAATATAATAGTTTATTCTTGTTAAACTATTTAAATTTTTTGGTTGCCAGGACAGTCAGTTTGGCCTATCACATAGGACTCATGAAAACTTACAGAAAACTTCTGATAAGCCATCTAATAGACGATCGAAAAGCATCTACACACCATTAGAGTTGCAATATATAGAGATGAAGCAGCAGCATAAAGATGCAATTTTGTGTGTGGAATGTGGATATAAGTATAGATTCTTTGGGGAAGATGCAGAGGTAAGTTGTTTTCATGTTTTTCTTGTTCAGCTTTAGATATTTTTCAATATTTTTGTTTTATTTCTTGACTTTGTGAAAAAGCTAATTTGATCAGTCACCCTTTAAAATGCTGTCATTTAAAATAAAACTCAAGCACAAGCAAAGTTGATGGAGCTAGACTTGTGGGGGAGAAGTGAGGAGTCCCTACTGGAATGTTACTGTTCATTTTCTGTGGTGCTGGGCCAATACTTTTCATCCATAAAAAGTTTATTAGATGAATCAATTGATGGATGAACCATTGCCAGTGTTTCTTTTAAACATTTTTTTTTTAGTTGTCAGTGGATCTTTATTTTATTTATTTATATGTGGTGCTGACAATCGAATCTAGTACCTCACCCATGGTAGGCAAAGTTTCTACCACTGAGCCACATCCCAGCCCACAAATATGTTTTTTAGGAGAATCTCAAGCGAAAAACAATTTTTTTTTGAGATGTATGGAAGTTCTCCTTACCTTAATTAATGAATTTTCATAGCCAGATACAAAGTTAAGTTTCAGTGAGAAGAGCACATTAATTCTGCCAGCTACCCACAGGTCTTTGTGTCAGTCATCTTTCAATCTTAGCCTAAGCTGGGTCTCAATTTAACTTGGGGGTATTTGATACAGATCAAGAAGGTTTAAAGTGAATTTGCACATTCAACGAGCAAGTAGAGGGAAGCTTTTGCTGGAAGCGGTGGTTGATTGTCATGACTACATAGTCTCAGACCTGGTTAGGTCATATAACATCAGAACATGATGATGTAGTACATCTGCCACCCCTTGGATGGGAAGAGAAGAGTTGGCCAATGTTTTCTTGTTCATGTTTTCTGAATCCTGTTGTGGCAGAAAGGTAGTGTTCTCTAAGTTCCATTGTGTTCTGTGTTATGAAATAGTATTGACATATTTCCTGAGGTTAAGAACAGGTACGGGTGCTGGGATTGTGGCTTAGTGGTAGAGCCTTTGCCCAGCATGTGTGAGGCACTGGGTTCGATTCTCAGCACCACATACAAATAAATAAAATAAAAAAAAATTTCATCAACAACTAATAAAAATATTTAAAGAAAAAACCAGATACGTAGCTGGCATCCTATAGGTGAAGGGGAGAAAGAAACCATCTAGGTTAAATGGTAAATTTTTTGACTATAGTAGAGGATGATATAGTAGAGGATGAATACAGTTTAGACGTGGGTTGGGGTAAAGGAGTGAAAGTACTGGAAAAGAGTTCCATGGCTCTATTTGGTGGTGTCTAAGTGTGTTCTGGAAGAAAGCAGGGAATCAGGGACTGCTTCCTGTTTTTGCATTTCTATCAACCATGCATCATTAATTAACTAACCAGTCTAGAGAGTTCTTCATGTCACTTATTAAAAGTTTCCTCTGTCCAAGTGGATTTATTATTTATGCATACTCTGTAGTATCTTCTAATCATCAGTTATTTGTATATGCCATTTGCATAGAAAATTCTTATTCCTTTGGCCTCCTCCTTTTTATATTGAATAGTCCTTACGTAGAGACAGCTCAGCACTTCTAGGTTTTGGAACATCTAAGGACATAAAAAAACAGTTGTCATTTTTTGGAGACATTTAGAGATACAGATTTTGGCCCTGATGTCAGGTGGTAGGAACTGCCAAAAAATAGATGAGACCCGGGAATTTATATGGGGAGTTTCTTTCAAACTTTTTATTGATGTACCACACATTTATAGAAGTACACAAATCCTAAGTGTATACCTTGATGAATTTTTAACAAAGTGAACAAATCCCACATGGAATCTTGAAATAGAAATTTATTAACATTCTTTCTTTCTTTTTTTTTTTTTTAAATATTAGATTGCTGCCCAGGAACTGAATATTTATTGCCATTTAGATCACAACTTTATGACAGCAAGTATACCAACTCACAGACTATTTGTTCATGTACGCCGTCTCGTGGCTAAAGGATATAAGGTCAGCTTTGATTTTTAACTTCAAGGGAGAAGGGAAGGAGATTATCTTCCAGGGAGTGAAAACATGCCTTTAAAGTAACAGGCAGGCTTTAATGAGTTTTAGAATTTGGCATTTGAAGCAATGAAATATGTTTCATAATTATTAATGTATCTTGATTTTTAAGAGCATATTGTTAGGTATTTACAGAAAAAAATTTTAAGACTCAGTAACAGAGTGCTTCTTAGTGATTTGTGTACACTAGTCAGCTGTTCATGGTCCTTGTTGCTTAAACCTTATATCTGGACACTGTGGACTAATTCACTTATTTTAAGTGTTTCAGAATTAATATTTAAGCATTTTGAAATGAGTTTGTTAGATTGGTTTTCATCAGATTTGATATTAAATATCTCTTACTTTGTTGAAGGTGGGAGTTGTAAAGCAAACTGAAACTGCAGCATTAAAGGCTATTGGAGACAACAAAAGTTCTCTCTTTTCCCGGAAACTGACTGCTCTTTATACAAAATCCACACTCATTGGAGAAGATATCCTTTTCGAATAGTAATTTTTCTCTTAGTTGTTACAAGTGCTTTGTTTTAAGGTGACATTTAAAAAAAAGTCCTTTGGGAACCTTTTCGATGAGGTGAGGTAGTACAGTTACTTGAATCCTTGGAGTGCACTAATGAAGAGGAAGGATTGGTAGTAACTAGAAACAAACATTTTTCAAATGTCATAATGAAAGACAAATTCATCATATACTAAGAGTAAGAAGAAGTGAACCTAATAAATGATAATGTCAAGTTAGCAATTGATTTGAAATTGTGTGTTTTCTTGGATCATTTATGGACAAAAGTTAGGTGTTTAGGGGCTATACATTCCTTAGGATCTTCCTACGGTGAGACCTGAAAAATAATAACTTAATAACTTAATATGGAAAGAAAACTACGAAGTCAAAATTAAAATACACTTAAATGCTTATAAAATATAATATAGGCCATCTTCATTAATTGTTAATTCGTGAAGATTTTATTGCTTTTGAAAATGGATTGTGGGTAAAACTTTCTTTCTTTGCAGAAATCTTCAGTATGCCCAATGATTGCTGCCAAATTTATAGATTTTCATAAATTTGTTGTGTTAATTGAAGCAAAGTAATTTTAAAAGCAGAGTCATAAAATTCTGTTTTTAAAGCCAAATAGATGTATATAAAATAAGGTGAGGGTGCATTTAATAATGTTTACTTAGGTTAGGTCTCTTATAATAAAATAATCTAGGGATAAAGAAGGTCTTAAATCATGTACTAAAGTATTTCTTTTATGGCTTATTACAAATCTGCATATTTAGAGGCCCACTTAGTTTCTATGCAAATTCTGAGGATTATTTTGTTTGTTTAAGACCACAAATAGTGAATAACTGTCATTCAGAGCAAACTCTAAACCATTTGCATCCCTTTGGTTGTTCTAAGCTGATCAGGCTGTAAAAACATGGTAGTTTTATTTTTTTCTTTTTTACCTAAGCTGAGTCTCCTACTTGAAACCCATTCATAAAAGAGTATCCTTTCCTGCTTCACATCTGCTATGCTTATGGCTCTTTTTTTTTTAAAAATAACTTTTTAAAAATGAGTGCAATGGAATGTTACTCAGCATTAAAGGAGAATAAAATTATTGCATTTGCAGATCAATGGATAGAGTTGGAGAATATCATGCTAAGTGAAATAAGTCAATCCAAAAAAAAAAAAAAAACAGGGACTGAATGTTTTCTCTGATAAGTGGATACCAATCCATAATGGGGGGGGGTGCTGGATGGGATGAGTTGGAGGAAATTTGGATGGGGCAAAGTGGAGGGAGGGAATGGAGCAAGGGGATAGGAAAGATGGTGGAATGAGACAGACATCATTACCTTACTTCTTGTGCAACCAGAGAAGTGAAAAATTATGCTCCGTTTGTGTACAATGAATTGAAGAGCTTTCTACTGTCAGGTATAATTGATTAGAATAAATAAAAAAATTAGTGTGTTATGAACATACAGAAAGGCAAAATTCACTGTGTATTCATATATGTACATAGGAAAGCTTGGTCATACTCATTCCACTCTGCTTCTCTTTTCCCATCCTTTTACCTTCCCCCTAAATTTCATTTCTCCACACCATCAATCTCTCTTCTATTTTTATGGGATTCCCCCTGCCCTTGCCCCCCACTCTCCGTATATTTTGGTCTAGTTTCCATTAAAAAAAAAAAAATTGAATCCTTGACTTTCTGGGTCTGGCTTAATTCACTTGGCATAATATTTTCTAGTTCCCTCCATTTACCAGCAAATGCCATAATTTCATTCTTCTTTATGGCTGAGTAAAACTCTATTGTGTATATATATACTATTTTTTCTTTATCCATTTCTGTTGATGGGCACCTAGAGTGGTTCCATAGCTTGACTATTGTGAATTGCACCTCTAAAAACATTGATGTGGCTGCATTCTTATATTTTGTGGATTTTAGATCTTTTGAATATATACCAAGGAGTGGGATAGCTAGGTGTTATGGTGGTTTCTTCCTAGTTTTTTGAGGAATCTCCATACTGCTTTCCAGGGTGGTTGCACTATTTTGAGTCCCACCAACAATATATGAATATACCTTTTTCCCCATATCCTCACCAATATTTATTGCTATTTGTTATCTTGATAATTGCTATTCTGACTGGAATGAGATGAAATCTGTATGTCAGTTTAATTTGCATTTCCCTATTTGCTATATATGTTGACCATTTTTTCATATATTTCTTGGCCATTTGTATTTCTTCTTTTGAGAAATATCTGTTTAGTTCTTTTGTCCATTTATTTATTGGGTTTTTTTTTTGATGTTAAATATATATATATTCATTCTGGATATTAATCCTTTATCTGAGGAGCAGGTGGCAAAGACATTCTCCCATCTTGTTGGCTTTCTCTTCACACTCTTGTTTCTGTTGCTGTGCAGAAGCTTTCTAATTGGATGCTGTCCCACTTATTAATTCTTGGTTTTATTTCTTGTGCTTAACGAGTCTTGTTAAGTAAGTTGATGCCTATGCCTATATGTTGAAATGTTGAGCCTACATTTTCTTTTTAGAAGTTGTAGAGTTTCTGGTCTAATTCCTGGGTCTTTGATCTAGGTCTTTGATCTTTTTTTGTTAAAAAAAAAATGGTTCTTTTTAGTTATACATTAAGATTCATTTGGACATAATTATAAAAGCATGGAATGTAATTTGTTCTAATTCAGTCCCCACTATTTCCCCTTTCCCTCTCCTCCTCCATCCCCCTATGCCCCTCATTCTACTGATCTTTCTGTTTACTTATAGTTTTGCTTTTAAATTAGTACCTAGTAGATAAATACATAATGGTGAGATTTCACTGTGGTATATTCATATATGTATAGGAAAGTTAGGTCAGATTCATTCATTGTTCTTTCCTTCTTTTGTCCCATCTCCTTCTCCCTCAATCCCTTTCTTCTACTCCACTGATCTTCTATTTTCTTTGGTCCACTTTGAAATGACTTTTGTGCAGGGTGAGAGATAGGGATCAAGTTTCATTCTTCTACATATGGGTATCCAGTTTTCTAAGCACCTTTTGTTAAAATGGTCATCCTTTCTCTTTTTGGCACCTTTGTCAAGTATCATAGGGCTATAAGTATATGAGTTTGTCTCTGGGTCTTCTGTTCTGTTTCATTGGTCTTCATGTCTATTTTGGTGCCAGTAGCATATTAATTTTGTTACTGTAACTCTGTAGTATAATTTGACATAAGGTATTGTGATGCCTCCAGAATTTCTCTTTTTGTTCAGGATTGCTTTGGCCATTCTGGGTCTATTATTCTTCCAAATGAATTTTAGAACTTTTTTTTTTTTTTATTGTTGTTATTCTAGTTCTGTGAAGAATGTCATTGGTATTTTGGTGGGGATTGTGTTGAATCTATATGCTGCTTTGGTAGTATGGCCATTTTGATAAAATTCTGCCTATCCTAGAACATAGGAGGTCTTTCCATCTTCTAAAATCTTCTATTTCTTTTTTCAGTGTTTTCATAGAGGTCTTTCACCTCCTTGGTTAGATTTATTCTAAAGGTTTTTTTTTTTTTTCAAGTTATTGTAAATGCGATAGTTTTCCTGATTTCTTTCTCAGCGGATTCATTATTGGTGCATAGGAAAGCAATATGTTGTTCTTGTATCCTGCTAAATTTGTTTATCATCTTTAGAAGTCTTCTCTTGGAGTTTTTCAGGTCTTCTAAACATAGGATAATGTCATCAGTGGACACATAATTTGACTTCTTTTTTTCCTATTTCTATCCCTTTAATTTCCTTCTCTTGCCTAATTGCTCTGGCTTGAGTTTTATGGAATATGTTGAATTGGAGTGGTGAGAGTGGACATCCTTGTCTTATTCCTGTTTTTAGAGGAAATACTCTCAGTTTTTCTCTGTTCAGTATGATATTGGCCTTTGGTTTGTCATATATAGCCTTTACAATGTTGAGGTCAGTTCCTTCTATCCCTGGTTTCTCTAGTGTTTTAAGCATGAATGGGTGCTGGACTTTGTCCAATGCTTATTCTGTATCTAAATAATCATGTGATTCTTGTCCTTAAATCTATTTATGTGATGAATTCATTTATTGATTTGTCTATGTTGAGCTAGGCTTGCATCCCCGATCATGGTGTACTATCTTTATTTAGTGTGTTTTTGAATGTAATTTGAAGCATTTTATTAAGAAGTTTTTCATCTGTGTTCATCAGGGATATTGGTCTGTAGTTTTCTTTCTTTGATATGTTTTTATCTGGTTTTGGTATCAGGGTGATAACTGGCTTCATAGAACGAATTTGGCAGTGTTTCCTCCTTTCTTTTATCTTCTTATACCCAAATTGGATGTATCCAGACTAGCTTTTTCCAGAATTAGCTTTTACCTCTTGAGAATTGGATTAGTGGACTCATTTTACACACACACGCACAAATGCATGCATGCACAACCTACACACATATACATTTATTTCTGATTTTTTAAAATGTCTTTTAAAACTGTTTTACCTTTCTGGAAGCTTTAGGTACTTCAAAAAAAATTAATTTATACTTATTTTAGTATATTTATGCTTTGATTTATAGAATCAAGTATTTTAGAATTGTTAAGAATTCAAGTGTCAGCATCATCCAATTAAAGGGGGTTAATATTTGGGCATCCACAGCATCTGATGTATTCTCCTAGGGCCTTTGGAAGTGAGACAATAATAGTTACCTGCCCTCATGAACCTTACATTTTAGGGAAAAGAAGACATGCAGCTATGCTCATGGTAAATCAGAAGAATGTGCTACATGGAAGAGTTTTGCATAGAGGAAAATACTCAGAAAATGAACCATTGTTTTAATGGAGAAAACAGTTAATATTAAACATTAGTGGCACTTCAGGACATTATTTTTCTTTAATCATTATTACATGTGAATCCTCTGATCAAGCTGGATGATGCTGTAAATGTTGATGAGATACTGACTGATACTTCTACCAGCTACCTTCTATGTATCTATGAAAATAAGGAAAACATTAAGGACAAAAAAATGGGGAACATTTTCATTGGCATTGTGGTAAGTATTTTGTAGGTGAAAAAGGAATAATAACTGTTCATGGTATTTCTAAACATGAGAATCACAAATGGTTTATAATGAGGATAACTGATGAGATATGCCTTGAAGTAGTTGAACTGGGAAGCATTTTCCTCATTAGATTATACGTTACATCACTAGTTACAGTATTCTCCTATCTCAGCACTCTGTGCTATGGAAAGATACAGATAGTTTTGGTTCATATGCTCCAGGATTTTAGGGTTGAAGGTAAGTGGAGTAATAGGCATAAATGTGGACAGTGTGCACATAGTAGAATAAAACATAAGCCAGCCACATGCATGGGTAGCAAGAGTTTTCTAGATTTCCTCTACAGGCTTGAAATTAAACATGAATGATTCTAGAATATTCTATCTAGATTTGGAGAAAGGGATAGTTAGAGAAGTGATAATTGACCGATGTAAAACACTAGACTAAGTGTTAGGAATATTTATACTCAGTGTTTCATATAAACATGGTTCGTGAATCATAGTTTTCTTGCCCTTGCCTTATGGCAATTTATGAATACATTTGCCCATTTACATGCCTACCTGGACCATGCTCAAAATCTTAAGACTTTTTAGGGCCTTTGACAATTATTAAATACCTTTGTCCTGTTGTACATTAAGTGAAAGCAGGGCTTTTTGCCTGAGTAATAACTTCTCTTTGCTTTTTAAAATTTCTACAGTCAGTGACAATATCAATAAATTCTTACAATCTGAATGTCTCCAGTGTGACTTTTAATACCTCATTCTGTTACTCTGTGCTAACTTGGCATTTGCTTAACCTGTAAGCTCTTCTCTCAGGGAGTTAGCATTACTGTGGGGATTGGATGGCTCTAAGCCAATTAGATTTTTTTTTTTTCTTCCTTGAGAAGCACTTTTTATCTAACTGCGGACATAGTTGGACCTATCTACAAATAGTAAAGTTATTTGGTTTTAGGCTTTAACATATGTTGTATGCTATTTTATATTTACCTGAAACTCAGTTTAAAGAACAGAGTTGACAATGTATAGTTCCTTCTTAGCACATTTAGAAATAACCTCTAATCTGTTGCCAGATCTAACCATAGTATGTGAAGTGGGATACAAAAATAAAATGAAAAGTGGTAATTTGCCCTTTCAGTGTTTTTTTTTTTTTTTTTTGGATCCTCTCTTGACCTCAGAAACCACTTTTGGACTGATGATATCCAGAGTTCAGGATATCATCAGTCCAAAAGTGGTTATAGGGTGTGGATATAGGATGAATTATAAGATGTGGATATTTTCAGCTGGCTCAACCTCTCTCCTGAGCTCCAGGCTTTTGCATCCAAATTAGTATTAAGCAAGGGCACTCAGAATTTTCTGACCCTTCAAACTCAGTGGCTGAAATGGAACTCATTTTCCTTTACCTTCAGAACAGTTCTTCCTGGATTTTTCCCTGCTGTGATCAGTGTTAACCATTCCATAGTCACAGCCTGGGAGTCATCTTCGTGTACTGGCAGTGAGTCTAGAATCGAAGGCTTCACTATTGGAAAAACACGATGATTAGGACCATTGCCTTCAGTATGGACAGTATGGTTCTTCACAGATTGACTTTAAATTTTTCTTCTTGTTTTTTGATACCAATGATTGAACTCAGGGGCACTTGACCACTGAGCCACATCCCAGTCCCATTTTGTATTTTATTTAGAGAATGAGTCTCACTGAGTTGCTTAGCACCTTGCTTTTGCTGAGGCTGGCTTTGAACTTGTGATCCTCCTGCCTCAGCCTCCTGAGCCGTGGGGATTACAGATGTGCACCACCATGCCGGCTTAGATTTCTTGATAATACATACCTTATAGAATAATGAAGTTTCAGGTGTTACAATAGAAAATTTCTCTGATTACATTTAGTAACAGAATATTTGGCTGGCTGATAAGTTTGTTATTTGAACATCTTTTAAGTAGCTTTTGTAAATGCATGATTATAGACTGTGGGACATAAACTTAGATATGTATCCTGAGATACTGATACTATAGATAGTATAGTAATACTATAGAAAGCTTTTTGAATAGAATTAAAAAATTTTTCTTTTTTTAAAATTGTAGTCTTTTTTGAATGAAAGTATTTCTTTGATCTATGCGTGAGATATTTAAAAAATTATAAAATATTCAATAAAAAATGCATAAAATAAATTTGGCAGGGTAGCATAAGACAGTCACCCAGGTCAGAACTGTAACTACTACAACCCATAAGATCCTTGTGTGTCTCTTCACTCCAGAGGTGACTGTAATCCAGACTTTTAAGGTAATAAGTTCCTTCCTTTTAGTTCTAGTTTTACCACTTTAATCACAAGTGTAGATATACTGTACGTATTTTTTTTTAGATCCTGCTTCTTTTGTTTCCTATGTTTTTATGTGAGATTTATTTACATTTGTTGCTGTAGGTTTTTCATTGCTGTGTCCTATTACATTTTATGGTGTACAGTTTACTTATTCCTCTGTTGGTGGACATATGGGTTCTTTCTAGTTTTTGGTTCTACAAAGAATGCTGTTATATGTATAAATGTTTTTGGCATGTCTTCTACTTTATACATGCCTGAATTTCTCAGGAATATACACCTGGGGAAGGAATTGCTGATTATAGGATGTGGATATTTTCAGCGGGCTGTTTTAGAAAGTGGCTGTGTCAGTTGGTTAGCCATCAATAGCATATGAACATAGGGATTAATGATTCTCCCTTCTTTTAGCTGGTGGAGGCTGTAACTCACCCTAGGCTTCTCATAGGCATCAGTAGTATGTTAGAGTATGGCCTGGGGAGTTAGACTGTGTGGGTTTGAATCCACCATTTAGTACTGAGACCTTGGCTAAGTAACTTGACTTTTTTTTTTTTTAACCTCTTCCAAGTGGTAATATTTTCCAGTTTGTCTTTTGGCATAGGGTGATGGGGTATCTTCAAGTTATTTCATTGAATAGACTGCCTAGTTGGGGTTCATGAGAATTTGTTACATGTATATTGTTTTTTTTTTTTTGCAAAAATTATGCTTTTTATTTATTTGTTTATATAATTAAGTGTATTCTTGAACATTTTGGTTTTCAGATTACTAGGACCATATCACTTATTACTTCTGTATCTATCTGTACAATGCCTTATGTTTTCTAAAGCATTCACATTTTTTTTCTGACTTGATCCTTACAATAGTTCTGTTAGGGAAATAAACTGACTTATTTCCATTTTGGAGGAGGAAACTGAGGCCCAAGTAGGATTTGGTGACTTGTCATAGTCACTCCATTGTTGTATTAGGTCCAGGGCCTGTACTCAGGTACCTTTTGAAACTCCCATTTAGTTTCTTGTAGTTCAGTGACTCTGACTTATGTAAATGAGTCTTGAAAAACAACAGGTTTTCAAACACTTTAGAAATGGAATGTATCATCTTTACTATTTGCATGTTTAACCATAACTGGAAGAAATTATATTGTCTGTGATGTTACATTTGTGCTTGTTTTCAGGGAGTGCAGCCTGCCACAGGTGAAGTTGTGTTCGATAGTTTCCAGGACTCTCCTTCCCGTTCCGAACTGGAGACTCGGATATCAAGCCTGCAGCCGGTGGAGCTGCTACTTCCATCAGACTTGTCAGAGCAAACAGAGATGCTCATTCACAGGGTCACTGCTATTAGGTATGTTGGCATGCTGTTTGAAGATCATGATTCTGAAACTGATTTACTGACAAAGCCAAACTTGTTAAAGTTGTTAAAAATAGTTTATAATTATAAAAATTCTATTTCAATGTAACTTAAAAAATTTTATATTTCAGCTTTTTTCAAAATTCCATTTCAGAATTGTATTTCAAAGTAATGGAAATTTTTCAAAAGAAAATTACCCATACTGTCTCTTTAATGTAAGACTATAAAAATGATCATTTTAAAGGGGCTTCTGATATTACTTAATGCTATAGTTTGGTAATTAAGGGGCTTATGATATTATTTCAGTATATTGTTTGGTAATTTTCAGTTTCTGGAGATAGGATTCATGTTTTGGAAATCTTACGTAGTTTTGAAAATGCTTTCTTTGTGCTTTAAGTTTCATTTCAGTGCTGCGTCCAGTAGTGTCCAGTAGTTTTATTTACAAGATCTAAGGTCACATGACTTATATATGAAATAGTGTAATGGGCACTGTGGCCGTAGAGGAAGAAAATGAGTTTATTATATGTGTCTGGCACAGTTGACAACCCAGTAGGAGAGGCAAATATGTACATATCTAACTGGATTCATGAGGCATGATACGTTACGTACCAAACATGAGGGTGACTCATTGAGGGGGATTCTATACTGCCACTGTGGAGCGGTGGTGAAGACCAGCAGTGGTGGTGAAGAGACCAAAATTTTGGGCTGGGGCTTGAATGAAGAGGAAGTTGTATATTGAGGAACTGGACTTTAGAATTAAGTAAGGAAGCCCGTAAGGATTTTCATTTAGTAAGTTGACAAAACAGTTAGAAAATCAAACTGATTTATTAAGTGAAGTTCCATATGTTTCTTTGTCCTTAAAGTTAAGAGTGTTCATTCTATTTAAATGTAACTTCCAACAAAGTAGCTTTCATAATTTGTTTTTTGATTATAACACAGACATATGTTCATTTAGAAGTTAGGATTTACAAAAAGGAAAGATAAAGTAATTCAAAATTGTAAAACCCAGAGATAACTACATTTTAGTGTATTATTTCTGTATACGTATACCACTTTTTTCATTTATGAACTTGGATTTGTATGGCAAAATCACTTCAGTATCCTTTTTTTCTTTCTTTTTGAGCCGTTCCTGAGTAAATGTCAAGGAACATTGAAGAAAGAGCAGATCTGTGAAGCCCCAGAAGTTTTTTTTTTGTTTGTGTTTTTACTTTTTAAAAATTTTAAATTTTTTTAAAAATTTATTTTAATTAGGTATATATGACAACAGAATGCATTTGATTCATTGTACACATTGCAGCACAACTTTACATTTCTATGGTCGTACACGATGTAGTGTCACACTATATGTGCAATCATACATGAACCTAGGTTAATGATATCCATCTCATTCCACCATCTTTTATATCCCCATGTCTCTTCCCTACCGTCCCTTCCCCATGCCCGATCAAAGTTCCCCCATTTTTCCTATGTCGCCCCCCATTATGGATCATCCACTTATCAGAGAGAACATTCAGCCGTTGTTTTTTAGGGATTGGCTTATTTCACTTAGCATGATATTCTCCAACTCCATCCATTTACCTGCAAATGCCATAATTTTATTCTCTTTTAATGCTGAGTAATATTCCATTGTGTGTGTGTGTGTGTGTGTGTGTGTGTGTATAGTATATATCACAGTTTTTTTTTCCATCCATCTATTGAAGGGTATCTAAGTTGCTTCCACAGTTTTAACTATTGTGAATTGAACTCCTATAAACCTTCATTAAAAAAAGAAAAAGTCAACAAATAAAAAAATCAAAGCCCTAGAAAAAGAAGAAAAAACCAACCCCCAAAGTAGTAGAAGACAGGAAATAATTAAAATTAGGGTGGAAATCAATGAAATTGAAACAGAAGAAACAATTCAAAAAATTGACAAAAAGATAGTTCTTCGAAAAAATAAATAAAATTGACCAACCCTTAGCCACCCTAATGAAAAGAAGGGAGGAAAACTCAAATTACTAAAATTTGTGATGAAAAAGGAAATATCATAACAGACACTATTGAAATATAGAAGAAAATTAGAAACTATTTTGGTATCCTTTTTTTTTTTTTAACTTAAAAGCTTCCCATATTTTTTGTTTATTTTGGAAAACTTCAAGCATACAAAATTATTCAGAATAGTATAGTAAACGCTCATGAACCCATCAACTAGCTTCACCATTTCCCAATTCGGAGCTTGTCTTATTTCATCCATCTCCCTCTCTGGTTAATTTATTTTGAAGCAAATCCTAGTAAACATTATTTTATCTGCTAATATTTCAGTAGGTACTCTTGAAGGCAAAATGATTGCACAACACTTAGTTATGTAAATAGCTCATCATTTATCCATCTCCCTATTGTTATGTTGTAATCATTTTTTTTCAGTATTACAAATATTGCTGTGATGAATATCTATGCAAATATTTCTGTATGTGTGGTGCATCTTTATTTCCTTAAAATGAATTCCTGAAAGTAGAATTTCTAACTCAGAGGGTGATAACTATATATTTATAAAGCTCTTGATTACTTTTTAGAATTAATAATATTAATTTATATTTCCACCAGTATAGCACAAGAGGGTTCCTTAAACCCATGCCAACATTGGGAGTGATCATTTAAAGATTTTTAACCTTTCACATAGGTAAAAAATTCCACATCAGGTCCCCTAATTTTGTTCTTAATTCTTTTCTGTGTTCAAACTTGAATGATTAAAAATCATATAGTAAAGTTACAAGGGGGTGCTGCTTTTGGAGAGCTAAAAGAATTAATCAGATCTCTACTTTTTATTTATAAGACTAGTCTTCTAGAGCTATATTTTCAGTATTTCACATTTGACTTCATTTTTTTTTTCATAATTGAGTATTTATTTGACTTAGGTTAATAGAAATTAAATTATCAGGCTCATTTTCTCTCTTCTACTTATTTCTACAAAATAATAAAGACAAAATTCAGTACAATGTCAAAACATCCCACAATGAAGACATTGCCAAAACTGAATTTTTGTTTAACAAGAACCATTGCCTAGTGATATTCATAAATGTCCATTTATCACATGAGATACCAAAGCCTGAATTTGGAGACATTTTGGATGTCATATGTGAGTTTTACCAAATTTAATGATTGCATCTGTCTTGTTTTGATTTGTATTTCTTTGGTTAGCATTGGGAGTTTATATTTTTTCCTCTGTTTAATGACCACATGTAAGTGCTCATTCTTTTGCATACTTTATTTTAATTTCATTTGACTAAACAGCCAAAAGTCAGTATTTCTGTGGAGTGCCTATAGCTAATTTATATCTGTGGACAGAGTGGAGCAGTGGAGATTGAAGAATCATAGGGTCAAACAGTGCAGACTCCTGTAACATAGGATTAGGTTGGAAAACTGATCTTCCCCTTAGTGACTAATAACTCAGCAGTATTGCCCTTTATTGTTCTTTTCTGGGTAATAAGTGTGCTTACCTTATGGGATTGCTGTAAGGATTAAATAAGTTAATATGTTAAAGGTAAATCAGTCCTTATCTCTTTTAACATTGTCTCTCTCCTGTTCATTCCTGGAACTCTGTCATACGTTTTTTTAGACCTTCTTATTTATTCTCTGTGCATGATTCTTTATGGTCTAATTGTATAAGTCTCCATCTATAGCTGTTTTTTATATCCTTTTGAATTTTTCTCCTTCAAAATTAAAAGAATTTTGACTCTTCTTTAAATTTTTTTATTTTTTTATTTTTGAGTTCACTGCTTCTGCATTGATTTTAATAGACTGTCTGGACCAGTTAAGTCCTCCATGCCTCTAATCATATCCTTTATTTTTATACTTAAAAAGTTCACTCCCCATACTGAAAGTACTTCATTTTTATTTTCATCTATATTTCACATTAGTCACTTTTTCTTTGTTTTACTTTACTCTGTGAGGTAAAATCTTACCATAATTCCCCCACTAAATACTAGTGGTTCCAGTTAACATCCATGAAGTTTAGTTTTATCAGCCTGAGCTATAACTCCTAGACGTATTTTTTTAAACAAGATAATTTAGCCAGTTGCATAGGGAATACTTTTATTTAGGTATGAAGAAAATAACTCTAGAATTCTGCCATATTTATTACCAATAAATAATATAGCATTGAATTTTCAAGTATAAAAGAATTTTTGTTCTTGGCAGTATCCTAGAACTCCCTAGAATAAAAAGAAGTTTTCATCAATTATTGGTTGATATTTTGTTAATATTGAAGACATTATATATTAATGCTATGTGAAAAAGACAAAAGAAATTGAATATCCTGAAGTATTAGCTTTTTTTTTTTTTTTTGGGTAATCTTAACATTTACCACAAGGGGTCTCCAAAGGATTTTATATCTATGAATGGCAATTTAAAAGACTACTAAAACTTTACTTCACATTTATTTTCTATCTTCAGATACAGACTTACTTAATTTACCATTTTTTAAAAAAATATATTTTTTTTAGTTATAGGTGCACACAGTACTTTCATTTTATTTTTATGTCGTGTTGAGGATTGAATCCAGTACCCCACACATGCCACTCTACCTCTGAGCCACAACCCCAGCCCCTAATTTACCTTTTTAATGCCAGGGATTGAAACCAGGGGCGCTAAGCTACATTCCAGCCCTTTTTATTTTTTATTTAGAGACAGGATCTCACTAAGTTGCTCAGGGCCTCACTAAGTGGCTGAGGCTTGCCTCAAACTGGTGATTCTCCTGCTTCAGCCTCCCAAGTCACTGGCATTACAAGCATGTACCACAGGGCTCAGACTACTTGCTTTATATTACATTGTAATTTAGAACAAGAATTAGTCCAAGATCGTAGTAAGCTAAGCTAGAATTATTATTTCTAAATAGTGACAAGCTATCAATTTTTCTAGGGTTGTTTATCTTTATGTAAAATGTGTTTATAAGATTTCAGCCCGGGTCTGAGGGAATCAGTTATAGTATTTTGCTACCCTTCCATTTGTTTTAAGAATAT